GTGTTCATGTCATTCGCAGTTTGAGACAAAAGCATCTCGACGTGCATGGCACGTCTTTTTAGCACAAGTGGTTAAAGCAGAACTTCATTATGTTGCATATCTGACTATAGCTCTATGCATTACTTTGTAACTTAACAAGTAGATTTAAAGTCAACTCCAAATGAAGTAAGAAATCTAGTAAAAATTTTGCGTTTCATGAAATCTTGAAATCCAATCTCAAAGATTTCTACTAAAACAGCAATCTAAGCCACATATATTTTACTATTAAGAGGATTATTACATGACAGAATAACAAAACCCACAAGAACAAAACAATCTGGACAAAAGATAACAAAATCAGATTTTATTTAACTTAATACTATGTTAATTCACTAGGTCCCCTAATCACCATTTGGATATTACACAACATTTTGTCAACACAGGGTTGGTAATATTTACAATGAATTTTGCACACTCTTCCATCAATAGAGCGGCTACTCAATGGAGATGCTAAGACTGTTTCTCAAGTAACTTCTCTGAGCAGCTGCTTCATTTCTGTCTACTACCCAATAGATAAATTGCATATCAGTGAGCTCTACAGTCATAGTGGTGCATACTACTCAAAATCAGAAAAAGGAATGATAATTTATGCCAGCACAATGCTTTTACCTACTGCTCACTAGCACTTTGTATCACCATAATGCACAATTTCGCACACACATTCCATTAAAGAATGTGCTTAGTCCCCTCTAACTGCCTTTATATATTTGCCAGATATTCTTGAATTACCCTGTATATTACAGATATAAATCATTAAATCATTAAATAGTATATAATACAGATAAAATTATAAAACTGACTGTATTCTTTTTTGTTCCAAATTCTAATTTGAATATTAAAAAGGTACAGAATTCAAAGCTAATTTATTTTATTTCTTAAAATTTCTAATAATTAATAATAATAATAATATAGTACTTTTTAATGCCAGCTGAGTTAAATACAAAACCATTCAATATATTAACAACTCAGCTATTTTACCAAAAAGGATAGCTTTTAATGAAATTTAAAAGAAAAACTTTAATTTTTCGCTTGTTCTAACAGATACCATCCCCATTTCCACTCTACTGAGTGATATTTAAGCCTGAATGAGGCATAAAGAATTAAAGCACTTACAATAGATTAATTATTATATTTTTTTAATTTTAATTATTTTACTCAGAAAATTTATTGTATTAAAACAACCACTTTTACTGACAAACAAGAATGATGTCACTTAAGTGAAATTGTCTTCATCAAAAGGCTAACTATATTAGGCATTGATCAAATGGTGTTCAATAGCAAGTGGAGTATTGTTTCATCTGCAATTAAGCTGGAAATAATTAAGCAACAAAAACAGTTCCTCCACCATTGTTCCCATCATTCAGAATGCGACACAAGTTTCTAAATTTTGCGAAATTTGGATATCAGATCAAAAGTTATAATTTTTATCACCAATTTATTGGACCCACACGTGAAGACCTAAGAAAAAAATCCCTAAGATCGCTATTGAGTCTCATTCAAATTAACATTTTTAGAGTTTTTAATTAGTATCTCAGCTGATTAAAGTCTTATGAAGATGAGAATGGTATCAATGAATTCCGACAAATTTTTGGAATCAGGGGACATGGGTCTCGAAATTCAACTAACCGACATTCCATAGATATTGTTAAAAAATTAAATTGGTGCATAGCCAAATCCCTTAAAAAGGGACAAACTCAACAAAGTAAGCGAAAAATGTAGGAGAAAAGTAGTTTTTAATTAATATCTCGGCTAATTAAAGTCGTATGAAGACATTTTATAGCCTATAACCTTTTCTAATATATCAAAAACATTTCTTGAAAATTTCATGATGATCGGTTAAGTAATTAAGGCATGAAAGCATACCAAAAACTTTAAATTACTGTCATTTATGAGAGGATTTAATAATAAAATATGTAACAAAATAAAATAATAACTAAAAAAGTCTGCAAGCTTTCACATTTTATATTACATCCAAAGGGGCATTTTTTACATTTACATACACATTTGTGTTGCCATTGCTCGGTTTGAAATTCGGTTAATCAAAAATTCATTAATTGTTCACAAAATTTGTAATGCACAGTTGAATATTTAAAATTAGAGTATCTTTAGAATTGCCAAGAGACAGTCTCATGCACTAGAGATAAAAATATTTTTTCCCATACAGTGTTAACATTGCTCACTTTGAAATCATTGTGTTTGTTAATCAAAAATTCATTAAAATTTTACAAAATATATAATACACAATAAAACAAATTCAAAATTGAAGCTTTCATGTGTCCATAGAGGGGACGACTATGTTATTCAAAATTTGATGGCTCTAGGTACCATTGTTTCTTCACAATGTGAAAAACGTGCATATATTCATGCAAATAGTTCATTACTTAATTTCTCTTAATTTGAAAAGTGACTTTAATAGTGATTTAATGCAAAATTCCATTTTGAGACTAATAACCCTGTGTTAATGCTCCATTGAGCAAAAATAAAATATTCTTAAAAAAATAGTACTTACTGTTGCCAGTGAACAACACTAAATCTTTATTAATAAAATTAAAACACAGGTCAATAAAGAATGTCAATTTTGAAAGCTCTATTTGCCTTTGTACTTCTTTTCAGAATGTAAAGTGATTTGATTAGTAAGATTTAAAAACATATTAAAATAAAGTGGGGGATTAACACTTTGAATAAAATTAAAAGAAGAAGGATAGTTGTAATCTGTATATTACTATGAAATTTCCCTATTACTATTACATTTTATTTGTAATATAAATGATATTATATAAAGTAATAAGGTTTAGAATAGCAATACATATAGCACATACTGTGAGAAACATATTTTGTTTATTACCTTAATATATAACACTTGTTATAAAATGCATTTAAGAAATACAAAAAAAAAAAAAAAAAAAAAAGTATCTGTTTTAAAATGATTCACTTTGTTATGTTAACTGTTATGAGCATTACATATTTATAATATGGAAAATCAAAAATAATTAAAGATCTTAGGCCTTGCCAGCTGGCAGCAACTTACAATCTTTATTTGCAGCAGCCAAAAATTGCTAACAATTAAAAGAGTAATACTGAGGGGTTAAAAATTTTACCAAATTAAATAAATTCAAACATTCATTAATTGCATTACCCCAAACAACTTGATGAATAAGTAATTTTTAAGAAGTCAGGAGCTGTATCCTTTAACTCCACCTTAGACTGAATTTTCTAAAAGAAAAAGAAAAATTCCTCAACACTGTGTTTAACACAAATTTTAAGAAAATAATATATCATAATTATTCTTATTACAAATTATATATAATGTAAACACATAGCATAACTTACTCAAATTTTATAAAAACAAACAAAGTAATATGAGAATGTCTACGAGGCTTCACTTAAAGAAATTTATATAATCAGTTCTTTAAAAAACTTTTTAAACACTTAGTAATGTTTACAAAAGATGAAATTATTTTCCCACTCTAATTTGGAAAATTAAAAATGATGTCTTATTTTTGATAAAATAAGTCGATTTTAAATGATGTCGATTTTAAATAAAATAAAATAATATAATTCAGGTTGGTGGTTAAAAGGTTTAAGTAATGACCCACTAGTTAATCATGTCTGTTTAAGTTAAAGCTCTTAAGGAAACCAAGGGTGATTTATAGATCATTAAGTACAAAACAATGCAACCAAAGAAATAGAGTATAAGCAGCAGAAGTAAATTGCTTGATTAAATTAAAAAAAAAAAAAAAAAAAAAAAATTAAAACAAAAATTTTATAAATACTAAATAATTTCCACAGTACATTTTACAGAGGATGCTCCCACATTTTAAAAATGTTTGGGGGCTGTTTAATTAGTGTTTAAAATGCAAAGAGGGTTTTTTTGGGGGGGTTCTTATAGCATTTTTTTCTGGGCTATGCCACATCTGCATTATCTGTGTCATGATTTCCACAGTAAAAAGGCTTTTCGTAATATTCCCACAGGTATTGATTTCCATTCCTCTTCTGCTACTTTCCAGAGTCCATCAATTGTTGTGGGTTTGTGCTTAGAAAGAGCTTTTTTCCAAAAGGCTAAAGGCAGAGTCTATTCAAGAGTTCATTAGTGAAATGTCCAGGAACGTGGCAGGAATACATTGCAAAGGTATACATGCAATACCTGTTCAGTCTTCATTTTTCAAGGAATGCAAAGGTACTTTTCAAAATATGATTTGTTACTTTGTCTTAACTAAGTTTCATTCTTTAAAAGTCATTGAGATAAATAAATAGAATTTTTTCTATAAATATCAGACGTGAAACTTCTCTTGATAGTACACAGAGTTTATTTTAATATTTTTGACACTCTTCTTATTTTTAATTTCCCACTGTAAAAGATCCTGCTACAATCATACACCCTTTAATGAAAATTTCTTTGCATTGAATGAACTAGTTCCCCCCTCTTGTTTTTGATAATAGACCTTCTTCTTCTTGTTCTCTCTCTTCTTTTTTTTTTTCCAGTCATTTAGGTAAATGCACACTTCATCAAAGGTCACAATGTATTTTTGTTTACCTCCTGCTAAATAGTGCTTGCACAGTGTTCTACCAATTATTCTGCATTGAGCCACGATCCTCAATGAACGTTGGTGAACATTATGTTTTTTAGCTTTAAGTTGTAAATCTTGGGTTTATTATGTTATTTACTTTGTTATAGATGTATTAAAAATTTTGCAATGAATGTCTATATCGATGTTCTCTTGCTACAAATGGTTTAACTATAGAATCATTAGAAATAGTACATACTTTTTTGAGCATTTGTTTGGAGTCGTCTTTACGTGTCGAAGAAACAACTGATGCTTTTTTTCTTTCGAATTAATAATGTTGCTTATTTTGCCCTTACAAATTTTAACACCTTGCATTTTACAATGTTTCTGAATTATGAAACAGGAATATCTTTGTCTGGAAAACCCAAAATCATGTCTCCAATCCACACCTTGTTTACATGTTATATTATCAAACAAGAATACATTTAAAAGTAGGAGATAATATTCCTCATTTCAAATAAAAGCTGTCTTAAGAAATTTTTATTCCAAAACATTAATTTAAAAAAAAAATCTAAAAATCTAATAAAAAAGAAAATTTGAAAAACTTTCAGATTTTATATTATGCTCAAAAGGGCCTTTTTTTTAATGCTTCGTGTCATGCCCTTTGCACTTAAACCACATAAAATTCAATTCAACAGAAATATCACCAAATATTTTAAAACAGCATATCTTTAGAATTTCCAATACACAGTCTCACGTACTGGAGATAAAATCTTGATTTCCGTACAGAGTGGCCATTGCTCGCTTTGAAATTGTTGAGTTTGTTAATCAAAAATTCGTAAAAATTTTACAAAATTGGAAATGGATTATAAAACAAATTCAAAATTCGGGTTCCAAGTGCCCATGTTTGATTAGAGGACTACATTATTCAAAATTTAATGGCACTAAGTATAGTTGTTTTTTTACAGTGCAAGAAACATATATGCATTCATGCAGATTCTTCATTATTTAGCTTCTTTAAATATAATACATGGCAATAATATTTGGTGGCAACAGTTTAGCCCTTTGAGTCTAATGTCCCTTTAGGTTAAAATTCTTTAGCAAAATCATTCTAAAAATGTGTAAATATCTTCTGTATTCCCCCGCCAGACCACTTGAGGTGCATGGGGACAATTGTTACAGGCTCCTGGGCAATAGTTACATCCTGAGTCAAACATGCAGTCAAGTGAGCAAAGTCTTTCTATGCATAATGTAGGCTGTTATTTAAAGTGAGATTAGGCTAGGCCTAATCTGATGGATGCTTTATAAGTCTTTAATTAAATCGTGAAAAACCAAGTCAGTATAACAGCATGAGTAAGCTACTGTCTAGCATAAAAAAAGATAGTGTTGGGTGAGAAGGATAAGCAATTATAAAGCAAAAATTCAGCAGCAGATCAGAGCAGCTTGTAGAATGAGCTTGAAATCCAGAGTGAATGGGAGACAAGATGGATGCTTGGTATGGTGGGTGAGAAGGCAGTGCATCTGCTCAGATCCATTAGGAACCAATGATGTATATGGAAAAATACAAGTCAGGCATTGTAAGATGAGTGGGCTCTGTCAGAAACATATCATTTTGAATTAATGGAAATCATAGTTGGGGAATAGGAGGAAAGGACATAAAGATAAGTTATAGCAAAATTTTAAGAATAAAAATAGAAAAACAAATTAATTTAAGTGCAATAGGAGAACTCCAAGTCTTTTTCTTTCACGTTGTTCATATGGGATGCTGAACTGTTGTTAACTATTTCCTATATTTTGGGAAAACTTCATTGCAATTTTTGCAATGAATATATCAGCTTTATTTAAGTCTATTTCATAATGAAGAGCATCATTTCTGATGAACCACTGAAATTTTGTGATTTGTTTTAACATTATGTTTCACATTTGCTGCAACTTTTTTTAGATGAGAATCACATAGGAAACACCAGACGGGACAGGCAAACACGCAAATGGCCACAGCATGGTCTCATACAAGAGTATCTTACTTTCTACAGAGCGTACGGAGTTTTGGGTAATTCAGAGGTTGAGTAAAGCATTAGAACTCCAAAACCTATTAATGATATGTGTAATATGTGGGGTCCATGTGAACCTTTGGTCTAAACAACACCAAGATATTTGACTTGCTTGGCTCAGGGGATGTTAGTTTGCACATACAGAGAGTAATGTTCCGATCCATTTTGAGCTTTCTAGTGAAAAGAAGATATTTTTTAACGTTGATTTTTATTTTCCATTTACTCATCCAGGACTTGAGTGCCTAGAGGTGATCTTGCAATGTTTGTACTACTGAACTCAGAGATGTATTTTGGTATAAGATCACTATGTTGTCTGCATATAATGCAAGTGTAGGGAGAGTGTTGTGAGGAATGTCGTTCGTAAAAACAGAAAAAGGGGTAGGTGCAAGTAATAAACCTTGTGGTATGTCAGCAAAGATCTCTTGTAGTGTAAGTATTGTTATAACGAAGGACCCATTTTTTTATCTCCAGTAATCAAATGATCAAAAAAAAGTTCTGTATGGTGATGTTGAAGCAATATGTTGTATGTAATGGATCGGTTTGCTTTGCTCTCTTAGGTCAGATTATGGAGAACCTAAACACCTGCTCTGCTTATTTTTCCAATTTGCTTTAAATGTTCTTGGAAGGTCGACCAAGATTGGTTAAGGGTGTTTGACAGTTCCTCGATTGTTGACATGGATTTGCGCACTTCAGCCCTTAGCATGTTGTTGTCTAATGTTCTTGGTCTTCTTTATTGATAGGAGTCAGAGAAATCAAAACTACTGGATTTGAATTTGGAAAACCATCTTTGGCATTTACGAACGTCTAATGCATGAAGATAAACATTGCAAATGTTTTTGGTCGCAACTGATGCATTATTACCCTTGCAACACTCAAAAGCTTACAATGCTAGATATGCTCTTCTGGTATTTGGCTGGCCATTTCACCCCAAAATTGCAAAATAAAAAAAAAGTTTAATATTGAATTATTTAGAAGTGAGCAAGTCACAATAACTTCAATTTCATATGACCAAGTAGAAAGCTTTGTGGCCTGTAAAGACCTTATTTTATTCTAACCAAGTATTTTTAGTTGTGAAACTTTCCTTTCTCTTCAGATTTCAGTTTCCTGCCAGAATGTAAATTTCAATGACATAGCATGCATATCAAGTTCAGAATCAGTATTTAAGCAGCAGTTTTAAGAATAGTAGCAGGAGAGTTAGTTCCAAATTGATGTTGCGTATTTGAAATAGCTTTGTACGTGAATAGTTGGTGCTTAGCCACTCTCTTTAGATCATATTGATGTTCTAGGTTCAGTTTTGCTGTGTACATCTTACTTAGTGGGTTAGATAATTAAGGTGCCAGTCATAAAGCCCATCTTACTTTATTGTGATTTTACATTTTCATTTTCTGTTCAAGTTACTTGGCCACAAGTGGTGGTAAATTGTGAGCACCAAGCAAGTGCATCCTGTTAAAGTTAGTTCAAATAAAAAAGTTATTTAAATCTTCTTCTGCAGTATCTATTCTTCCAAGGCATAGCAAGAATTCGCTACTTAGTCTTTTCAGTAGGATCTACCACTGGATGATCCGAAAAGAACACGGAGACTCTACAGGCCCTTCTGCAAACTTTCATGGTCACAGGCATTTTATAATGATAAGATGTTTAAATTTCATATGTTGAAGTACAATAAAATATATTGGAATGAAATATACTGGACTTTAAGAATTATATATATATACATGCATGTGTGTGTAAAATATAAAATATGAAACAAAATTATTAAACTTAATTGGAATCAACTGGCAACACACCTTCAAATTCATAAAGTTTAATTAAAAACATCCTCTCACTTCAAGGATATACTTTGAAATATTTTGCTTAACTCTGCAGCATGTTACATTACCCTTTTCTTGCAATTTCTCTGCACTGTGAAATCTTTAGGCCAATCGCTGCTCAGGATTTAAACAAAGATTTTCTGGCTTATAAATACAATGTGAGTTAGTTTGCATCACCTTTTTTCATCTGCTGCTGCTTGAATAAACTGTCTCTCTCACTTCACCTTCTTTCTCTATTGCTTAAAAAATGTAAGTGCATATTTTAAAATTTGGGGTTAAGTCTGCCCTCATTATGCTGTGCTCTTCAACAGCATGATGTTTGAATAGCATAATCATCAAGTAATAAAAACATATTGTGATTATCCAAGAATTTTATGTTTCTTTTAAGACATCTACTATGCCTTCGGCATGTGTGTCACATCTACTACCACTTCAATTAGATTGGTTTTATCTTCTCCAAGAACTATGACACCAGAAATTCCGTATATCCGAAATCTGGCATTTCCCAAATTTCTAGATAGTCGAGCTTTTACAGTTTACTTCATAAAAATTCCAATTACACATAAATAACAAAAATTGCTTAAAAGTAAAAGTATTAGAATACTTACATTATATTGCTGATGTATAAGGTCAACAATATTAGATGCATCGCTTTCTAATCTTTCAGCATATGTGCCTTCAACATGAGTAGTTAGTCGCTGGTACAGTGGCAGTTCAGAATCAGGAACAGCAAATATAACCAAAATTTTATTTTCAATTATTTTAGTGTTTATTTGGCTCAAAGATGGGTAATCCTATACAGAAGGTTAAGGAAGGAAAAAAAATCAAAATGAATACAAATTTTTAATTTCAAAACTTTATTATTTGATATATTGTTGTATTAAGCATACTTTCACTATGCTCTTATTTACATTAAGAAACACTTTTAAATTTCTTCATTAAAATTTAACAGCTGGCAAAACTTTCAAATAAAAAGTTAACTAAAAAAATAAACAATCACATCACCATTTTACATATCTGAAGCCTTTCTGTATACTTAAAATGTCTAATTAATTTATTATTTTCTAAAAAGTTAATAAGTTATTGAACTGGTATTATCCCAACAGGCGATCTACTGAATTTCATTAGTTAGTTAATCAGTTTTATACTAGATGGTGCCATCTCTTTTCAGACTATTTTGTTTGTAAAAGCAATGTTTATGCTTATTGTTTCTTTCATATGTAATTTTTCTGTTAGATTTGCAAAGCATTTTTAAAATGCTGTCTTCAAATCTTTGTTATCAATTTACTCTAAAAAAAAATTTAATTTTTTCACGTTTACATTAGAAAGAGTTGAAATAAGAAGGAAATGAAATAACTGGTTTCTTAAGGGGCAACAGTGTTTAATTATCTCTCTTCAATTCATTATGTCTCTTTTTTAATACTCTGCTTACAATAAATTGCTTGTAAACAAGTTTCAAAACAACTAAATACAGCAGTACAAAATTGGGTGTATTTTGTCTTGCCTCTTATGCTTCATTCACTATATGCATGAAATTCTTGATATAATCTATATCTATAATATTTAGGAGCTTAATATTTAGTTATATTAACAGTAAGTAATTCATTGAAATATTTAAAACAGCTAATGTAATTTTAAAAAATTGTATTAATCATTGAAATATTTAAAACAGCTAATCTAATTTTAAAAAATTTATATTTCATCCTTTTATCCGCACAAAGAATGTTTTCTTATACAACATAAAACACAGCAGAAGAAATACTGATTTTGCAAAACATAAAAAAATATTAATATTAAATTATAATAAATCTGATCATGCAAATTTGAATAAAATAGTGGAAGAAAAACAAAATGTGTAAAAACAATTTTAGTGGTGCCATCTATCAATCTGTAAAGTGATTACATAGTTAACCCTTTCCGGCATGCTACTTTTTAAAGTTGGAATTTTACCAAAACAATTTGTAGGTCGTCTATTTAGGCCTAGAAGAGTATGCAGGTATAATTTTACAAAGATTGCACAAACCGTTTCCATTTCCGCCCCCCCCAAAAAAAAACAGGGGAAAAAAGGAAACTCTCATTGCTTCGGCAATGCTGAGGCTTCTCCGAGCCACTTACACAATTTTAAAATTTATAAGAAAAATAATTTAAATACTATAATTTTTACAATTAATTATTCAACTAGAAAAAATAATTATTAAATATATATACAAATAAAAATCTACAGAAATCAAAACTAAGCAAACTACGCACGATGAAAGCAAGAGAAAAAAAGGCTCTGCTTTTGCTGAAAATCAAATAGCTAAGTGAAACAAAGCACCTGGGTCTTGTTTCACTTAGCTATTTGATTTTGCTTAGCTATTTGAAAACCAAAACCAGAAAAGAATAAAAACAAACATAAATAAATCTGTGCTCTCAGCCTCCCCCGTGTTTGAAATACGAGACCAGATTCTGTGACCTAACTTCCACGTAACAGGCGCTACCAATACAGTGTGTTCAGTCTGAACACACCATACACTGAAAGCTTCACTATAAGCAATATTTCAAAGATAAAAATTAAAAGTAATACAGAATAGACAGATTAGCATATGAACAACAAAATTATATAAAGATTTTTTTTCATTGATATTCTTTATATTTAAAAAAGTCTGAAACATTTCTTTGAAAAATCAAGGTCTTTAAAAACAGAATATATCTCAACGTTAATGATTTGCTTGTGTGGTGCTGCCATCTATTATTCATAAAAGAGATTAAAAGTAACCATTATTGTAGTTTTTGTGATATTTATTGATTATTTCCAGTGTTTAAAGAGGGAATATTTTTTATGTGTTTTCACCCAACACACTGCGCCGGAAAAGGTTAAGTAAGGTTGATCACTTATTAGGAGAACACCAATGAATTTAAACAAGATTTTTACAATCTTGATAACCTTTCATAATAAAAAAATAGCTGCCAATCCCTTAATCTTCCTTCAAAAAGAAAAAGAAATAATTTTTAAATAAATAATTAGTAATTAAACAAAAAATTAATATGTAAATCTCTATTCATTTCACTCTGACTGGGTTTGAATCTGCTTGAAGGCTTCCTTCTCTTAAGCAGAGAGCTTTTATAGGCATAAACCCAAATCTTGACTCATTTTATTTGCTACTAATGATTGTGAAATTTTTAAAAATGTTATACAATTATATTTGCAATCACATAAAACCTTCATTTTTAAGATGAAAAGTACAGTGAATAAGAGTGAATAAGATTCTGAACAACATGATCATCATACTTCAAGACTACACTAGATTTCAATAACTTAAATCACTTAATTAAACAGTTATATTTAATTAAGTGAATTACATAATGCGCTGAAATTCGATGCAGAGCTTTAAAAACTAAAAGAACTGCACAGATTTACAGATTTATATATATATATAAAATGCAGCATACATATAATAATTTGATGTGTAAAAGAGTTGATTTACAATTAAATACAGACAGAAGGAAAAAAAATATTTCCTTTAATAAAAAAAGCAATTTTATATTTTAGCTTGCAATCTATATTATCAAAAACATCAGCTAGTACATTAGGCATGAAAATGAGTAATAAGATTATTTTACTGTAAGGGAATTATGTTATTTTATATTTATATTTTCTGTCTTCAAATAAAGTAATGCTTACTTGATATATACTTTCAGTATAGTATCCATCATCATCTAAATGACAGTTGCCATCATTTGGTTTGACAATTCCGCCTAACTATAATATACAAATATATAATTTTTAAAATAGTAAAAATATAACAAGCCAAAGATATATTATTTTACAACAGTTATATTTAATTAAGAGTAGATATGGTATCCTCAAAACAATTTTCTAAATAAATAAAAACCAGCAGATTACTTAAATTATTATTAACTAAATAAATATCTCCTACTAGGTGATATTTGATTGGATAAACTTTAACAGTACTTATTTGTTATAGTGCTCCCCAACCATATTTGACGATTTTAGATTTGCACCAAGAGCTCAGCTATAATTTCGCCAAGCTCGTGAAATGCAAATATAAAAATAAAGAGCACAATATATATGGGAACTGTAACTGAGTAAGATTATGTTAATTATCTAATCCACACCTAAATGTGCGTGCGGATTAGACGAGAGATGAACGATGGTGAAAGCAGACACATGAAAATGTTGTGAGATGATTATTCTTTTTAGCTTTCTTTTCCTTCTAATGTATATAAATAAATTTTAGTTTAGCAATAACTTGATGAGTTGTAGTGGTGATTATAGTGATGCTTATTCAGGTCTTCTCTACATATGTATTAATAACAATAATATTCAAATGCATTTTCTATGAATATTTTTAAGAATCCTTATCCTTATCTGTATTATTATTTTATCGAATGTAATTGCTTAGTCCGCACTGAAAACTTATTATCTATGAATTTTATTTTTGCGGCATTTGCGCAAAATACATTTAGTACTTCTTGTACTTGTTGTCATTTATTTTTACCATCTTCACAGTATGAAAATTTCGGGTTTTACCAACTTTTAAAGGTTAGTTCTTTCCTTCCCCCCCCCAAAGAAACCCACTGCAACACAGGTTGGCTCCCTTATTACAGTTTCAATAGGCTCAGTTAAAAAGTATCAAAATTATGAATTGAAGCAATTTGCTTTGAAAAACGTACAAAGTTAATACTACGGCTTCCCCTGCGCTTGAAAAGTTTCAACAAACACTCTGAAAAAACTTTAATTATGTTTATCAAATTACATGTAAAGATTGTAACCTTATTTACATAGGACAGACTAAAAAACACCTTGATCTTTGCATTAACAACCACAGAGCTAATATTAAAAAATATCAGCTACAAAACTCTACAGCAGAAAACAACAACAACTACATTGCCATTCAGGAACGTTATCAACACCATACTTTTGAAAATAAATAAATTAAAATATTGGACATAGTTCCTGATGCCAAAAAGACTATTCAAAGAGTCAATTTATGTACTACAAAAGAAATCTCTTTACCCCTACGGGCTTAAAACTTATCTCAGTAATAATACAAACTCCCAGCTTAAAGACTCAATACATGGACAATTCAGATTTTTCAGTAGAACCACGATAAGAGGACAGAGGTAAAGGAAAAGACAATAAGATATTTTTCTACTAAACATATAAATAATATAATCAACAAATTCGAAAAATTCTTTCAAGAAAATTTTTTCCTCGGGAAATTAGTTAATTATTTTCACACTTTCAAGAACATTGTACTCTGAAAAATACTAAACTCCAATAAAGAAAATTACACAGGTTACAAAATCATTAGAGATCTGGTAATAGACTTCTGTAAATTTAAGAATAGCCATTTTTTCAGTAAAAAGCTCTTTTGTAAATTACATTTCAAGCACCGCTACTATGATAATCTTCATATCAGCCACATTTTTAAACAATCACAATATCTCTTACATTATCCAAGTTTTAAAGTCACCTCTTATTTCAAATACAATAAACACAAACCACCAAGAAATGCAGGATAAGGACATTTATTTGATTTTGCGATCTTCCAGATTACAAGAACTTCGTGAATACTTCTCACTGACATATAATAACTGGAGATCTAGATAGTGTACAGAATGCTGACTTATTAGAACTAATGAAATATGGGACCAAATTTCAACCTACCTTCTCTCTCAGCAAAATTTCCTGTATTAAGGAATTTAATAAGGATCTAAATTTGTTTATTGTTTTAGCCAGTTACTAATCCAATTTACCCACTTATACCTTTCTGGAATGGAAAGATGCAATAGTTCACGACTTAAAAAGAAAAATTTACAAATGCCCTTCTTTTCTACAGGTTCCCAATAAGCACAGGCTATTAGATGAAATTAAAGAATTACAAGATAAATTTATCATCACAAAGGTTGACAAAGCGAGTGATAACTTTAGTATCATTTGGAAAAAATTCTAGTACAACTTAATTTCAGAACTGCAACGCACTGACACGTTATCACCCTATGAACACCAATAAAAATATTCTTTTAAAAAAATTCAGAACACTACATAAAAAACCTAAAATACATATTAATAACTATTTTAATAGATTTGCTAACTTGTATACTCTACCCAAATTTCACAAACCTCCTATTAAATTCCGTTTCATCGCAAACAGTACCAGAAATTATTTAAAAGAAATAGATTTTCTCTTTGCCAACATTCTTAAGCAAATTCTTGAAGTTTTACATAACTTTAGCTTTCAAGACCACCATTTTAATTGGATTCTTAAAACTAATGCGAATATTGTAGATAGTCTTCAGACACTCAAAATAGAAGATATTAATACATATGATTTTGAAAACTTATACACTTCTCTGCCTCTTGAAGAAATTTACATTAGCCTTCTCGCCCTCCCAGATCTTTTTCAACATATTCTAAACATCATTCCAGAGAAAGATGGAAGCTTTACTTACAAGTCACTATCTTTAACAATTATATAAACTTTAATAATAATATCTACAAGCAAGTTAAAGGAATACCCATGAGCGCGAGTTTTTCAACTGCTTTATGTAATTTATTCCTATTCACACAAGAATACAACTTTCAAATATCACTAAATAATCAACAGAAAAAATATTTTACCAACGTTTACAGATATAAAGATGACATCATTGCCTTTAATAATTTTAATAAAATCGAGATTGCCAAGATCTATTCTTCCTGTCTTAAACTCAACAAGACCAACACTTGTCAAGAAGACATCGTTTACTTAGATCTTAATATCTTAAATTATACGAAAATTAAAATCTACGATAAAAGAAGAGAAGTTAGGTTTCACACTCTTAAACCTACTAATTGGAACTCCAACATTTCTAAAAAAGTTATAATTAACACAATAAATTCTCAATTGATCAGAATTAAAAAGATATGTAATACAAGATATTTTATTAAGGATGAAATAAAGTACTCTACTAAAATTCTACTGGAAAATCAAATTCCAAGACATATAATCACACAAGCATTAAAAAAAGCAGGCATTAACCTTAGTCTTTGAATTACTTGTAAAAAGATATGATATCTTCTACTCAAACCTCTATTAGGAGGTAAAAATGGATTACTAATACAAATGTATTCATGTACATATGTATACTAAAAAAATTTTCACTTATAAATGTACAGTTTCTTTCAGTAAATTAATATGTACATAATTTGTATGTATTTCTTGCTATTACATTAATTTACTGGCCATCTATGCTTTCTGAATTAAAAGATGAGTCATTTTATTTTCAAAAGGCATTTTTATAACTCGAAAAATGTGAAAAATTATAACTTTTTACCAACAACTCATAACTTTTGTGTACGCACATGTTTGAGAACATTCGCCCTTCCACAATGAGAAATCGAAAAATCGCAATGACAGGCGGTACACATTGCAAATTTATTACATTTCCTTGAGGAAATAATGGATAAGTCAAATGTGTACGATTTTAGAAACGTACACGAGTATTTCACCTTTCTCGCAGACATAACAAAAGATGATAAATTCTAAAACTATTTCCCGAAGGCATGTGTACTCAGACTACTCAGGACAAGATGAACGAAATAACTAAAGAACATCCAAATAACAGCCTTGAGCTTGCTTTATGCTCATTGGCTAATATATGCCAGATGACATGCAGTGGAGCTCGATGCCCATTGGAGAACTGGAGAACGACGTTTCTGGATATGTATGCTCTCACTCACAAAGCAGAAATTCTCATCTGATTCGCAAGGTTTTGTTTTAAATATAATCTAGAGATAATTTAATTGCTTTCAGATGTCTAAAGGACTTCGGCGATTCCGGATTATGGACCATCAGTTTAAATCTGGTAAGATGGCATGCAGAAATTATAAAATTAAAAATATGAAACCGTAATTTATGAAATAAAGAACAATTATGATCTAAAGGGTATCAAAATTTACAAAAAGAAAAAGCTTAATATTTATTTGTTTACTTTATTAAACATTTCTTTCAATGTAAGTTGTTTAAGTTGCTTCATTTCATGTGATAATACTTTCTCTTTAATTCTATTAAACAGACATAATTTCTTGTTCAGTTACAAAGTTCCGCTGTTCAAGTCCTATAATTGCTGTGTCGAGAATTCTGACTAATTTGTCAATCGAAATTTTTTCGTTTCCAATAACCTCTGTATCGCTTTCTTCACTATCGGAAGCGAATTACAATGACGAGGAACTTGATTTAAATCATATCAAAGACGTAGTACATCGAGATGAAATACTGCATTTAGTAAGGAATTATAAGCCAAATAAAATAAAAAAAATCTGCCCTGGAGATAAGGATAGTGCTGATCAACTTCCAATTCATTGCGCACCATGTCGTTTCCCTCCCCCCACAGAGCAGCGTGAAATTGATAAACATATTTCGGAATGATTAGATAATCAAAGGATATGCCTTTATCCATTTTTTGTAGCAATTCCACTTTCTGTTTAATGGACTTTGAAACATACTTTCGCTTTGTAGATCCTTTACATATTAGTAAATATATATTAGAAATTCTATTTGACATAATCGAAAGTTCAAGCTTACTTTTATAAAGCTGTCTAACAGTCTGCAAAAAATAATATGCCGGATCCAATTCGAAGATTAAGGAACAACGCAATCTGCAACATTAACTGAATTAGATAATTTTTAGCTTAGCTTATACTGTCCGTTATACATTAAACGCGCATGCGTAAACAGAGTATGCGCATGCGCACACGCATATTCGCGGCCGTAAAGGTCTTATGCGCATGCATAAATGCCTATGCGCATGCGTCGCGCAGAAAGTTTGTAGCTTTGAGGTCCGGATTATGGGTGTCCGAATTAACGACTTTTGACTGTATATGAAATAAGAACAACGCAATGAACAACATAAAATATATATATATATATATATATAAAGCAATGCCAGCTAAGATTTCAAATGAGGTTTTATTCTCACATTTCCACACGAATTCACATAAAGAATCAAACAAAATATGACCATTAACTAGACATATATACAATTTTACAAGAAAACTTTTTGGTACGTATTATCTTACAATAGAAAAAAAATCTGTTTTATTTATTATTATTATTCACTGAATTAAATGAGATTAAGGAAAAAAAAATTTTTAAATCTGAAATTTCTAGTTATTAGTTATTCATTTTCAGCCATTTGCTAATTTAATTTATGTATACTACCTCAATGCATATAAATTATAAGAATAATTTGTCTGCCTGGTTTATTAAAATTTTAATGGAATAATACATTGACAAATCTCTTTTTTGGGGGGAGAGGAGGACTTTCCATAACATGGTTCAATATAGCATTCAATTCTTAGAGGATGACTATATTACAATAAAATTTATAAATTATCGTCAGAGTAATTTTTATAAATTTTTAAAAGAAACAACAAATTATGCTTTTTTATTAGAAGAAAAATGACATATATATAATAAGAGTGTGTAACATTTAAAAAATGAAAATAAAATACATCACAGAAGCAAGAAACAATTACTCACCGTTCAAAATGAGTATGGAAGAAAGATAGCTTGTAAGAGAAAGAACATTGACACAGCTAAAGAAACAGACACAGAGACATTTAGCAGAATATTTAGCATAGTCACATGAAACAAGAAAAAAAATATGCAGATATTCAGAGAGCTAAGGTTTCATACAATACACAGATAAAGCAGCTGAGAAACAAAGGTACTCACTACATGCTTTAAATAACGTAATTAAAAAAATAATAATAAATAAATAAATAAACAAAAATTTTGGTTAAATTCTTTTAAATTTACAATTAAAATTATGAAAAGAATAAGCTAGTTCTTCCAAAACTTTGAAATACAATTCAACTATTTCAAAGGGGAAAAAAATATGCAAGGCTTTGTTCTTTATTGATAACTATACTGAACATTCATACCTTTCCATCACCAGCATAATGAAATACACCATCTGTTGCAAACAAAATGATTTTACGAGAGCGATCATTCCATTTGATTTTTTCCTAAAATAAAGATTTCATACATTTTCATGAATAATTTATCTAATGTTAACTGATTAAGACATTTTTAGTAGGCATACATGATTGTTAAAAATCTAATTATTACAAGCAAACAGGATACTTATAATTTTTAAAAAGAACAACTAACCTTACACACAATTACTTGCATTATAGCATCAAATCCACCTTCGGCATTATCCAAATTACCTGACAAATTAGCTCGAGAAACTTCTTGCTATAAATAAATAAAGCAGGAAATTAAAGTATGAAATTAAAATACTTCAAAACATCTAAATAACAAATATGGCCTGATTAGAGCCACCAAATTTATAAATCTAATATAATGTAAAATAATAATTAATTACTTCTAATATAATGCAAAATTAGCGAATGACAGAAGGCAAATATCAAGTCCCATACATATATAGCACCCGATTGAAGTTGTAGGCCAAAAAACCAATAGCACTTGTGGAATGAAAAAGAAGTGATTTATATGATTTTAAAAAATGCAAAGTACATTGTACCCCCACTCTGAAATACCATGTGATTTGAGAATATTTCCCATATATCTACAGATAGAGAGTACTGTGAGTGAACCAATGAAATAATTGATGCTCCAGAAATAATTCCAATGCAATAATTAGTTAAAAATTTTATGTATACGGCTCCACAGTCAACAAGTAGTACCAGTAGTACCAAGTAGTACTTTGCCAATTGACGAAATTCAAATTGTGTTTTTCATGTTTTGAAAGTGCAATTTAGGATATATATTATATTAATATATAGCATTGTTCTAATACAAGTATTTTGACACAAAATTGGATTTTTTTCCAGTAATTGCATGCCAACTTTTTTCCATATTTCGAGATTCTATGACTTAAATTATGCCTAAATATTAAATTTTGTAAAATTTATGGAGAAATTCTAAAATTTATCTTGGCACATTTTTTTTCAGTTCGCACCAAAAATAATTCACTTGGTGAACTTATTAATTTATAGCAAACTATTTTTCTTTCCCTTTTATCATTGTACATGAGTGGGGGAAAAAGTCATCCTTCATACTTTCAAATAATTTTAAAAGTGCATAAACTACATTTGGTGTTATAATTGCTTATAACATATATGCCAAATTTCAAAACATGCCAATATGTATGTAAATTCATGTACATCATAGAAAATTTTGAATAAAAAGTTTTTTGCAGGTGCACCTAGAAATACATCTATTTTAAGATAATGTTAAAAATTGTATAGGTATTACAAAATATTTTTTGAAAAATTTATAAAAAATATTTTAAAATACAAATTTAAAAAATAAATCATTAAAAATGTGCATATTTATATTTGGATTAAGCCTAAATTTCGAATTCTGGAAGAAGGAATCAAGTAAGTTTAATTAAAAAAGAGAGATTAATAAATATATATAAAATTCAATTAACACTGAGGACCTAAAATTTTGAGAACTAATTTTTTAAAAACTACTCTTTCTCGATTTTTTAAAAGAATTGGCATGTGTTAAAGTACCTATATTAGAACAATGCTATATAAAAATCTAATACATATCCTAAATCACGCTTTTTACATGGAAAACACAAGTTGAATTTTGTTAATCGGCTGAACAGAACAGGAGATATAGAACTGCCCCCCTTTTTTTACGCAGTGTACCTTTACGTAAAATCTTTGAGATCTCTTGGATAGACATGTTTTGCACAAGAACATCCATCTCAAGCCACCCAACCGGATAATGGTAGCAACGTTGACTGCCAGACTGATGGGCCCGGATTCAAATACTGGAGATGACAAGGATGTTTGTACATGCATAGTGTCTCTGCGGCATGGGGCACTCTAAATATGTGGTGAAGGTCTTCTCGAGAGCTTGGTGGGGGAAGAGGGCTGGGAGACCCTTGGACCAGTCTCCCAGAGGTGCTCTTCATCAAAACTGGGGACAGAACTGAGCAAAGTCATACCATCACCTGAATGGTGCTCATGGCTCTTGCCAACAATAGGTGCCACCTTGCACTCCTTGCCACAATGAATTTCATGAGCTTATGCTGATGTTACTGTTAGACAAGTGAGATAAGTCACAACAGCAACACCATCTCATACTCAATTCCAGTTCTTAAATTCCCTATATGCTGCCTGGCTTTTGATTCTTATCCTATAATAACCTTTTAGAACCTAACTAAATTGCTCCCGCAGTATCTAGCTCTTGCCCCCCCCCTTGTGCTGCTAAAGGAGACTACTTCTGTTTTATTAGGAAGGTATTTTTAATAAAGTGACTCAACCCTATACCTGCAAGCTGCATAAGAGTACAAAAATTGGATTACCGAGTAATGACAAAAAGTTATCATCTTTTGATGAAAAGTTATCATCTTTTGAATTCCGATCTGCAAGTTGCATAACAGTACAGAAATTGGATTGCCAGAGTAATGACAGATAGTTATCTTCTTTGATAAATTCCTACTTGTGCTTTACCAAAAACATGAAGGATTGTGTATCTTGAAACACAAACCACCTCGAAGCATAGATTAGCAGAATACTGGCCATCATTTATTCTTATAAATTTTTATAGATTAAATGAGATTAAAGAAAAATTTCTGAATTAGGTAGTTTTTAGGTAATTATTCAGTTTCAATTATATGATAAATAATTTTAAACTGGTATCCTGTTTTGGGAGATGTTTTCCTGGCACTAGCTGAATCCCTATTACCTAATGATGGCACTCTAAACCATATGGGTATCTGTGCACACTTAGTAATGACAAGCATCTCTATATGTTAACAGTCTCAACCTGGATTTTCATAATAATTAACCAAAGTGTATGAAATTAAAAATTTTACAACCTTTTCACCTTTATGCACTTATGAAAAGTATATAATGTTTTTAGCCCAAATTATACTTTTAACCTCTAACAGTCTTTTTCATTGATCCATTTAGGATTCTGCCTAGATGTGAAGAATAAAAATATTGCACTTGCAATCATCGACAAATTTAATTATTTGGGAGAGACGGCTGATGATAAACTAAATTAAAAGTCTCATATAGAATGAATATCAGATGATTTTTCTTAGCAGCATTACTAGCAGTTTGTAAACTTCTTGTGGGGAATGGTCATATCAATTTGAGATCTGGAAACAGCTTGAATGGATCAATTTTTGAAAGGATTACCTACAGAATTTTTATATTATCTCTAACTACATTTTGAAATACTTATAAATATACATCATAATGAAATACGTATACCAGCAAGTGAACAAGCTTTTAGAAATTTAGAAATTTTACAAAACTAGGCTAATTGAAGTTTGTTACTGGAGCTTGTAAATCAACACCACTCAATGTTACATTACAAATGACAAAGAATACACCCATTAAAGCTATTAAAAAAGAAAGATATGTTTTTATATTAAATATTAATTTGAACTGAAGACTTCTTGAGTTTATTAGACTATAACTAAAAAATAATACAGTAATGTGTTAATTTTTAGCAATAATTAAAATTCATATTTTCTCTACTTTTCAAAATAAATGATAATATAAAGCTATATAAAGAAATAAACTGTAAAATATAACCAACTTACTGTAAAACGAGCCACATCATCATCTAAAGACAAGTGATTCCTGAACCCATATGGTGAATTACAAGATACATCTCTGCATGGATTACGTAACCTAAAAAAAAAAAAAAAAAAATTTAGTTAGTTAGTTTGTTTATACATCTGCATACAGCATTCACTTCAAAGATCAAATCATTTTTTTATGCTTCATAGTGACCTTGGTGAGAGAAAATGGCATTGGCCTAATTTGGGCTTAAGAAGGTGCCATTTGTTGCCAAATGTTATAAATAAACATGAAAATAAAACTTACTAGCTGACCAATACATAATGCCAATTCACTTTATAAACATAACACAATTTATAATATTTATACACACAGAACTTTAACGGAAATTCACATTAATTTAGTTAATATATTGTATATAATTTATTTAAAATAAACAACAAATATAAGCACACCCAAAATTCAATTTTGACATACACTTTCTGCTTACCACAATTCAGCAACTGCACCTATTAATGCATTACCATGCTTAATGTTAAGTTAATTAAATGTTAAGTTTCAAACTTTACATTTAATGAAAATGCCTGAACATTAATTTCACTAAATACAATTGTAGGTGATGGCAAATGTATCCCTGCCTTTTCTGTTTCACCATTTCACTGAACCCCACAAACATTCTACCTTCTAACTTGTTTTAGCAAGAAAAAATTGAAAATAAGCATATATTAAACTATTTAAAAAAACTGTTATATTTTAAAAGACAGTTTTTTTCTAGATGAAGGAGGATAAACTAGGTGCACACATGCAAATCACAAATCAGTAGATGTTATTTTCTTACAAAGGTAGATACAAGCATATTAAATATTTAACAACAAAGAACTACCATACTTAAAATAGGAAATTTTCACTAGTGGAAGAAATATAAACTACATATGCATGTGGGTAAGCATTTGTTTCTTGCTATTTTGGAAATGTACCAATCTCTTTTTCACACTTAGGCTGCTATAAAAAGGAGACATGCAGATTTTTACTATCAAACTCAATAACAAATAATAATAGACACTTTTCCCATTTACACAATTTATGACAAATAAAATTTTAAAAAATTCGAGCTATCAGATAGTAAAATATGAAGATTTTTAAGAAAGTATTTATTTTTTAGCAGATAAATTTTGTTACTATAGCCATTATTCTGCTAATCAAATCCTTGAAAATGAGAGGTACCTTAAAAGAATATGATCTACCAAAATAAAAGTCCAAATTACGAAATGAAATTGCTTGCTAAGTGCAAAATTCATCAATCTAAAGAAGAAAAGTATTTTTCATACCTCTTATATGAACTGAATCGCACACAACCATATCAAAGCACATTATATATTGCGCTTTGATAAGGTAGTGTTAGTTTTATCTTACTTTACACTGTTCTTTCTGATTATTCACATCCCCAGTTTCAACATCAAATAGAACTGCTGGGTTTTGAAGCACATTTTCTGGTATACATATGACAATCAACCTGCACATGAGAACTATGCACATGTTTAAGTACATGTGGATTTATTTAACTGCCACATTTTGTGTCTTTTTTCAAGTTGCCACATTTTTTATGTGTCTTTTTTTCAGGTTGGGGAAAGTCATAATAAACCATAATGAGACTGTAAAGTACAAATGCTGATGTGAATGATCAGAAAGAAAATGTTTGAATTCTTCGAATATAGTGTTTTGCCTAAGTATACAGAATGTGATTCCACAATACATTTAACATGTTGACTGCCACAGCACTTTTCGGATTCTGGTCCGAGAAGCCAAATCGATTTAATCATATTATATTATTAATAATATTAATTATGATTCGTAACAATAGTCCTTTGAATTATCTTGTAGTCGGCTCATGTTAGACAAAGCTCTTCGCAGAAGCCCACTACAAGTTGATTCGTACAGAGATACTTCGACTTGTCTCCTTGGTACAGCTAAAACAAGCGCTAAGCTAGTAAGTGACTCATAGCGGTGCAAAAGTGGCAAGTCAAGAAACTACATGGCAACTCGTATTGGGAATCCTGAAGAAGAGTGCTAATATGAATTATCTTGTGTTGGGCAGTCAATGTGTTAATTTTGCATATGAATCAAATTGTGAAAAATGCAATTACAATTTTAAAAAGGTACCGGTTTGGTTTCTGTTATGGCGAAGCCTTGAGCGTTATCTGCCTAAGGAGAGGGATGGCCTCGTGGCGAACTTTCTAAACTGGGAAACTGGCTCATATACACGTTACACATAGGAAAAACCATGAAAATTCCCATGCAGCCAGCATGTTTGTGGGACTCGAACCTCAGACTGAACTTCCAGTGTTTATATATATGTGTGTGTGATAATTTAATGCGTAAGATGAATCCGCATACTTTAACAGTTTGCAGTCATCATGGGCGGGGATGGATATTTTGATGCACTGCAGCTTGAAGTCTATGTAGTTAGATAGATGGAGGCATAAACCACAAACTTCCAGATGCAGACATTTCAGAACATGATTTTATTCCATTATAATTCCCATCAGATCAGTTTATAGACAAGGGATTTATCCAATAATATTTCAATATGATAGTTTTTATGTACACTGATTTTAATAGTAAGACATAGGCATCTTAGACTGAGAAGCGAAGCAGCGCAAAGATGTTAGCACGGTAGAAGCTAGGGAAAGGAATGACGTAATTAATTGCGAGCGGTATTTATACTGAAGCAGATGCAATTGTAGAGACAAGCTATAATTGCTTAATTTTAGTTTCAATTACCTTTTTTAAGCAGTGTTATATAAGATCATGCATGGAAAGATCTTGAATTTAGGAGAACAGAAGAATTTAGTAGGAGAGCATCAAATCTAGAATAGTTAATTTTGAAGTCACCAATTATTTTTAAAGCAGCTATCGTACTTTGTTATATCTTGCAAATCCCCCCTTCAAAAGAAAGGTTGAGAGAGCAGGGTGGAAAAGCATTACTATATTAGAGAAGCAAGAGAAAGTTTATCATATGAGGAAAGACATTAGGAAGCATCAAGGATATAGCTGCAGGTTTTCCTATGCCCTATTATTATTCATGACCTCTCTCGTGTATAGATTATGAAATACTTAAACATATAATTTAGAACTAGTGCAACAATAATATAATCTCGAAAAAAAGCTAAATAATAAATTAACAAAAATATAATTTTTTAAAGTCCTTAAGTTCTTTTGAATATCCAATGTAAATTTTGTAAAGTCTCTTGACGAAAATAGTTCCACAAGCTAAATGTTCAAATGTTTTTATAAAGTAAATGTTCAAATGTTTTTCAAACATTCCTGATGAAAATATTTTCATAGATTTGCCAACTTATCATGTAGAAATATAACACAGAATTTATGATTAATTGAATAAGTTCTAATTGTGGATACACATATTTAATACAGTAGAAAATTCAATATAAAAACATAATATAATGCAATAATAATAACACAATAATACTTTGAATATCAAATAAATCAAAATCACAATAATACTAAATAACACAATAATACTTTGACAATTAGTAGGTATGTCCTCTTCAACAAAATCAGCGTACCATCTTGCTGATGGTTGGGGATGCTTAAGCACAATATAAGAAAAAAACCTCGACTCCTTAGTATAAGGTACCTGGCTTTGGACACTGTACAATTGTCAAAGCTTTTTGTTTCAAAAATCTTTCATATTACATAATGAAAGACAATATTAAACAAAATTAAAACTGAAATTTAATAATATGCAATGCAAATGAAGCATATCATTAACCCTCCAAGCAGCCAAGCCGTATATATAGACAGAGAAATACAAATAATTTTTCAAAAGGAAAATTTATAATCAAAGATTTTTTTTGGAAGGGAAATTGTAATTGAATTTGTCATACCTCCTCCTGACGACGTCATGTCGAAGTTGATTGGATTCCTCTTCTTTCTTGTTCTTTTGTATTTTCTTTTAGCTTTTCTTGCGATAGTTTATTTTAATTTTTACTTTTAAAATGTTCTTTTTCTACATTTATACAATTTTATGAAGTTCATTTGAATTTCAAATTTTGGTCTTTGTGAAAAATTGGTTCTAAAGTTTTTTCTTTATATATTTACACACACACAAACACATATATATACACATATAACACATTAAAAATATGTTTCTTGATACCTTTAAGTACACAAACATGCATCTTGAAAGATGACCATACAGTTAAGAAAGGAATTATATATTGGAAGAAAATAAATCAAAGTACAAAGTGAGAGGGCCATTTTTTAGTTTTTACAAGAACACCATTTACTCATTGCTTTATGAAAACTTTTAAAGTCAAACCCTTGCCTGCTTGAAGGGTTAAAAATAGATACTTTTTAATATTATTAAAATTACAAACAAACATTTTATATTAGATGAAAAGTGCAGAGTAATCTTTATATACTGCTGAGGAATTGCCTTGCTATTAATATATATATATATATATAGAATAAGCATCATAAAAAGTTCAGCATAAAATAAGGCTTACTAAAAATTCTTAGTTTTCATTAAAAAGTAAATATTGTTTATTTTGTGAGATATACAAATGTGCATATAAAATTTCATTTAATCTTCCCAGTTTATAGTTCATACAATTTGACCATAGACATATGATATTTTATTAAGTATGCTAACAGCAAATGATAATGTAACAAGAAAAAATCAGAATACCTATCAGGTACCATATCAACATAAGGCATAACAACTTTATCAATAAAAGAGCCAAATCCAAGTCTGAAATTTTTCGTAACATTATTCATGCTTTCAGCTGGAATAAAAAGCACAAATTATATTCATATATAACATTAAAGCAACAATATTTCAAAACTATATAAAAATGAGACATTTATCAGATTTTTATTTACTAAAACATATCCAACCTATTGCAAACTTGTCTCTGGTGAATGAATGCTTGAATAACATTTTTACAACTTTTAAATCATGTACATTAGACATTTTTTTTTTATTAACCAGTCTACACTTACCTTAAAATCCATAAATTAAAAAAGAAGAATTAAAATACTTATTATAAATTATATGCATAATTAATTAGAAATTTTCATTTTATTACTCAAGCTGAAATATTACAAAATCTAACTCCTAGATAGATATAAGAAATATGCATATCATCACCAAAATTATTTATAATTTGGACACGGATACTTAGTACAACCACCTTAGCACATTCTGGCAATTTTTACCTGAAGAATTATGACTTGTAATAGCAAAAAAATATTTATTGCATACATACATTTTAGTTAGGTATTTATTCTCAAAATCAATCAATGAACCTACTTATATTTGGGTTTCATTTTAGTGGAAATTTCGAGACAATCACCTTTATGAAGAGATTCAAATTATTATTTCCTTAAGTGACTTTGCAGCAAAATACATATTCTGGAGATATTGTAATTTCTATCATTATGCACAAATTGCACAGTAACATTTTTCAAAACTGAATTTAAGACAAAAAATATTACAATTTCCCTACAAAACCATTTGAAATTAAATACAGCAAAAAAAGTGTAAAAAAAATGGCTACCTTCTTGTTAAAAATGAAGAATAGTTATGATATGGCACAACCTGAAAATGTGGTGATTGCGCTAAGATGCGAGAACCACAATTTAAATAAAAATATAAAGTATACAGCTTTTGCAAATATCAACTTAATTCATCAATTTGTTATGCACCACATCAAATTTTGAAAACATTCTTAAAGTACCAGCAAATGAAGTCGCTACTGTGAATACTGCTTTAACAAATTCACAAGTCTTTTACCAGTGCATTCTTTTGATATAGACATGGACTTCCATTAATCTCATGTAATCACTCACTGTAACATTTTTGCATAAGCCAATAAACATTGTGATACAGTAAATAAATTGTTGTATGCATGTTTTTCTTGCAAATTCTACAGCTTTCCCTTTTGCAATATAAAATACACTGTTTTTTTAAAACAAAAAATTCAATTACAATCAGCAGTTTTAAAAAAATTACTGATTAAAAACATTTAAACAAATAATTTTAATCACCTGACTAAATGTGACTAAAATCACAGACATCATGTTGTGCCTATGAATTTCACACACTTAAAAGCAACACATGTTAGCAGTTTGAGGCCTATCAGTAAAACTGCATTCAATTTTGAATGAAATATACTACAGTCTTAAAAATGACAATTTATTTTAAAGTTTTGAAAAATATATTTATTACCTTAAAAGTATTAACAACTTACAACTTAAAATTCTACAACACCCAAATATACTAATTTATTAGTGCAGTGAATTTTATGTATCAAATAAATTTCAGAAAATTATCAAAATTTTAGTAAAAAATTTCTTTTAATAATTATTGACTAGATTAATTTCATACAAATATCAATTATAATAGCTTTATTTCATGACTACAAATCTCAAATAAACATTTAAGATCAAGGGAACAAAATAAAATAGCATAAGTATTTCTTGGGTTTATATTTCAACAGACATATCTAATCAAGACATGAATGATGGATGATGATGTAAAATGATATATGACAAAGCTGGTGGTATCTGTTATGATAGATTATTTCATTGATCTTTTCTCAGTGCAGATCATTGAAATAATCTACCACAGCTTTAGTTTAAAAACAGACTTTAAAAATAATTGTGCTTGGATATATAAAATACAAATATTTAATTTTTACAAGACTATAAATTAAAGTTGATTTAAGTAATACATAATATGATCACTAATAAATCATTTAAGTGGAAATATAAAAATGTAATTTCAATGTATTAACTTATTAATATGATATACAGTCAAAAGTCGTTAATCCGGACTCGTCGGGACTTCGGCGATTCCGGATTATCGATCATCAGTTTAAATCTCGTAAGATGGCATGCAGAAATTATAAAATTAAAAATATGAAACCGTAATTTATGAAATAAAGAACAATTATGATCTAAAGGGTATCAAAATTTGCAAAAGAAAAAGCTAATATTTATTTGTTACTTTATTAAACATTTCTTTAATGTAAGTTGTTTAAGTTTTGCTTCGTTTCATGTGATAAGACTTTCTCTTTAATTCTATTAAACAGAATGATTTCTTGTTCAGTTACAAAGTTCCGCCGTTCAAGTCCTATAATTGCTGTGTCGAGATACTGACTAATTGTCAATCGAAATGTTTTCGTTTTCAATAACCTCTTCATTTCTTCGCTATCGAAGCAAATTATAATGACGAGGAATTGATTTAAATCATATCAAAGACCGAGTACATCGAGATGAAAATACTACATTAGTAAGGAATTATAAGCCAAATAAAATAAAAAACATCTGCCCTAAAGATAAGGATAGTGCTGACAGATCAACTTCCAATTCATTACGCGGCCCCCCGCAGCGTTCCCCCCGCCGAGCAGCGTGAAATTGATACACAGATTTCGGATTTCAAAACATACTTTCGCTTTAGATCCTTTACATATTAACAAATATGTATCGGAAATTCTATTTGATATAATCGAAGTTTAAGCTTACTTTTATAAAATTGCTCTTACAGTCTGCAAAAAAATAATAAGCCGGATCCAATTCGAAAATAAGGATAAGAACAACGCAATCATCAACATTAACTGAAATAGATAATTAGATAATTTTAGCTTATACATCCATTATACATAAAACGCGCCGCGGGAAAACGTATTCTGCCCTTGCGCACACTATAGGCACAGTCGTAAAAGGTCTTATGCGCACGCGTAAACGCCTATGACGCATGTGTCAAGCGGCGAATGCGCAGCGAAAGTTTTAGTTTTGAGGTCCGGATTATAGATCATTCCGAATTATGGGTGTCCGAATTAACGACTTTTGACTGTAGTAAAAAAATTACATATAAAAAGTTGGAAATATTTCAAAATAAATAAAAGTAACTTGATCAAGCTTAATCAATTAAGCTCAGAAGGGAAAAGTAAAGGAACATGATAAATTTAAAAATTCAGCAGCTAAAGAAATGTAAAAATTTTTAGAAAGAATATTTCTTGAGCTATAAACTACCTTTTTTTCCTCAAATACAATTAATTCAGTAATTCTGACTGCACTAAAATCACAATGTTTATACTTCCAAAATGTAAATGAAAGGAATTTAATTAGTTTACCATCCTTCCCAGATACAGTATCACAATAAGAGCAAAATAGAAATTTATAACTAATACTGCAATTTAAATTATAAAAAATAATTTTGATAATAATTTCAAAAATAGTTTTAATAAAAAGAAATGTCGCATTCTTAATTTCAACAAGTTTAAATTTTAAGTTTACTATATTAAAAAAAAAAAAAAAAAAAAATTCCTGAGATAATAAGAGAACAGCTTAATGAGTTATTCAAAACTATACAGTATTTATAAAATGGAACTGCTTAATAAAACAAAAAAATCTGATGTGGACACCCCATGATTTTCTGGCACGGCCTATTAAATTATACACATTTTTTGTTGTGCTTCATTCAAACTTATTTCCTCGAATTATTCTAACTTAATTAACCAAACCTTCATGAAAAGTTGAAAATATCAAAAGTTGCATTCACTCAATCAGTTGCCGTCATTTTTACTTTAAGTCATCTTGTCAAAAGTTGCAGTCATTTTGAAATTAAATATCCAAATCAATTTATTTATGTAGTATAAAAGTCAAACTTCTTATAATTTTATTTTTTCATAACGAGTATAAAACTTTACCAAATATAAGTACAGGAGCTAGGAGACAACATTAAAAGTTAACTTTGGTACTTGTCCAAAATTAATTTTTTTTTAAATCTTAATAGGAAAACATGAATATTTTCATCATTTAAAACATTTCTGTAATTGGAATTATATTACTATGACCAAGCATTGCAAAAATAAATGCCATGTAACGATTTTAAAGTCAGGTAAGGGGTGTGGGTATTACTCTTGGTACTGCCAACAGCAATAAAAAAGGGAGGTGCACAACTCAATGTTATATACTTCCCATATACACAATTTTCATATTCTACAACTAATAATTTTTCAGTTATGCAAGATACATACATACGCATGTACAGATGTCACAAAAAATCCATTGTGGGTTCATTTTAAATCCATTTTTGAAAAGAGACCTTTACGTTCCGTATGTGCAGACATCACACAAAAAATTAGTCAAAATGGATATTTACATTGAAATATGATACCTGAAATTTTTTGCAACTACAATACTTTCTTTACTTCGTACAAGAACTAAAAAGGTATCTGCATATTAGCCTCTATTCGAAACTATACTTAGTGACAAGAAAATGACATGTTTACCAAGGACCTTTCTCTGTATAAGTAATGGCAGTTTTTTTAATAAATACTCCAATGCTACTTCCTAATTATTACAACCCCCTAAGATTATCACCAGACTTATATTTACTTCTCATACATGCTTTATAGTTGCCATATTTTCATAACTGCTTTTAATATGGCATCAGAAACCTTTTCTCATCCCAAGAACTTTTCACAAATGAACTGTGCAAGGTTCACGATGATTGTGAACCATGCCACTTGATTTTTATTGCAAAGTACAGTAGTTTTTAAACATTTTGTAAGTAGTTGTTGTTAGACAAACAAAACTATAGGTTCACAGTAAAATGTCTCAAATGAACTTTCTCTAATTTTTCTGCTTTATACGCTTACCAACAGTCAGAATAAATCATCGATTTCTCTTGTACATCGTTGCTGATTTTTGCCATGATTGTAAAAGCCTCTCTATTTGAAACCAAGTGAGAAAGAATCAACCATTTCCCTGGCAA